TGTGCACATTTGAGCACTGGAGCCCTGAAGCCTTTAAGGACCTTTCTTAGTCACTGCCATTCACTATCCCAGAATCTTAGCACGTCTTTCCCCTAGGCTTTTTATTTATAAGCCAACATAGACAAAGATAACAACAAAGAAACCCAAACCGAAAAAAACAGGTAGAACTAAGAATACATAGATTACTTCTAAGAAGCATTAATGGGGAGTGAATTTAAAAAAAGAAATGGGAATTTCACATGTGCCTCTAAGAAATCAAATTGCTATGTACATGTTCATGTGCATTTATATATATAGCTCCATAACCCCTCATCCAAAACCTTTGAGTCTAAATGTATTTCAGAATTTGAAATTCTTTTTTTGCATTTTGGAAGGTTAAACAGGATTTATATACCACGTGTTATACGTCCCTATTAAAGCCAGAAGCAGCACCTTATAAGTCAAACAAGCATATGAAAATTTATTTGGCAAAAACATACATACTCCATGACCCAACCTTTTCACTCCTAGGTTTATATTTTTCCAACAGAAATAAGCACACACGCACATGTAAAACACATGTGCACATTATGGCAGCTTTATTTGTAATAGCCCTGAATTAGAAACAACGCAAGTGAACATCAACATTAGGTAAATTTTGGTATAAACAATGGAATACTGTGAATTACAGCCATACACAGATAAATATCTCAGAAACAATGTTGACTGAAAGATACCAGACACAAAAATATATAATGTATGATTCCACTTAGACCAAATTAAAAACAAACTAATCTATGAGATGGTGGTAATAGTGGTTATCTTCATGAGGGGATACTTTTGGGGTGATGGTAAAACAGTTCTTGATCTCGGTGGTGGTTGTATAGGTGTGTTCATTTTGTAAAAAGTTCATGGAAAGCCTATGTGCATGCTATACCTGAATTTAAAAGTTAAAAAAAAAAAAATGCTGCCATTTAATTTTCTATCATCTTGTTTCTATAATCCATTCGAATCTTTCAAATAGATTTGAGTATTTATGGAGCCCTACTAATACGCCAGGGACTACACTAGGCATTAAAGATACCAAAAGAGCCTTATTTATTTATTTGTTTGTTTGTTTGTTGAGATAGGGGCTCACTCTGTCACCCAGGCTAGAGTGCAGTGGCGTGATCTTGGCTCACTGCAGCCTCGACCTCCTGAGCTCAAGTGATCCTCCCACCTCAGCCTCTTGAATAACTGCCACTACAGATGTGTGCCACCATGCCCAACTAATTTTTGTATTTTTTTGGTAGAGATGGAGTTTCACCATGTTGGCCAGACTGGTTCCGAACTCCTGACCTCAAGTGATCCACCCACCTCGGCCTCCCAAAGTGCTGGGATTACAGGTGTGAGCCACCGCGCCTGGCAAGAGCCTTCTTTATTTAGCACAGAAGATTGTTTAATAAATACTTCTTGGTTATATTGCTTGCCTGTTTTGTTAGATCCTACATAAAACAAACTCTCAGGGGATAGAACTAGCTACTGAGCTGGTGTTTCTACCATAGATCTAACCATTGGTTCTTGCAACTATTGCTTCTGGCCATTTCTAGCCCTTTGGGTCAGTCAGCTAGACCCCCAAACAGTTCACCTGGGATGGCTCATGGAGAAAAATCCATGCATGGTAGCTGGGGTGGGATGGTGGCATCTTGGGACCTCACAGCACTCCCCTTTTCTGACCTGCTGATCTACTATTTCCCTGATTCTAAACTCCTCACTCCATTCCCCAGTCCTTTAGACCCTTACTATAGTCCTTGCCCAACATGGCATCTTTCATTACTGAACCTGTTGACCACCTATTCTTTCTCCTTCCATTTGAATTCAACTGTTTGGTGGTGGCATGAGCAGGGACATTGATTAAGTTAGTGAACTGCCATAAGTATTTGTAAACCCAGTGTATGCAAAAGCCATTAAGAAAATGAAAACTCTCCTGGCCCTGGATTCCTTCTATGTAGCACTGCTGATAAGAAAGACGGGTGAAGCATGTGTGGTCGAGAGCACTTGGTTTATTTTCACCAGTGGCAACAACAGAGGGAGGAACAAAATGCAGGTGTGTGTCCTACGGTTCTCAAACTGGTAGACCTAAAACATTTTGTGGACAAGTTGAGCCCTTCCTCATACTGTTTTAAAGCTGCTCCCCACTCCCTTGAGGCAGTTCATGGCTCCTACTTGCCGGACTTCCACCTGTGGTCTGGTTTACCTCTCTTGGGGTTGCAAGAATATCTTACCTAAATAGTCACTTTCTCTGCATCCCAAGGATCTTGTTGACTGAAACATCTTATTGTATGAGTCAGGTTTATCTAATTCCACTGATTTATTTCCACTAATAAAACACAACCTAATAAAATTCTCAAATATGCATGCACACATAATTATATCCCTTGAAAAATACAAAACCTGTTATAAGGTACATTTCACATGCATGTTACTTAATATTTTCCCCTACAACATAGTAAGTTGCCCTCATTTTTCCTCACGTTAGTAAATTGGCATTTGGATTTCAACTTAACCAGTTGTGGACTTTGTGTGCATCTTTAGCCAGAGTGTCACTTCTGTTTTATTTTGGACTCTAACTTCTCCTTACACCTATAGAAACAGATATTCTTCATGTCCCTGCCAATAATTGGAATGCAGTATTTGCATTTCCTATTCTGAGGATCCTCAGTACTACTTGTTTTCATCTGACCCAGAAAAAGAAAAAGTTAAGAAAAAGAAATACTAAAAGGTATTTTTTTCATTCAGCTAGTATATATGAGGCATTTAGTATTAGTAGTTACCACTCTGGCTGCTTAGGTATATAACAGAAAGACATGCCTTTAAGCGGTTTTCCACCCTGGGTGGACCAGGTGTTCCTTGCCCTCATTCCCATAAATCCACAACCTTCCAACTTGGGCATTAGGCCCATTATGAACATGTTATAGCGCTGCAAAGATTTGGTTTATGGCCAGTCTCGGGGCCAGTTTATGGCCAGATTTTGGGAGGCTTGCTCCCAACACCTTTTTACCTTTTCCTATGAATAAGACTCCTGGTTAGTTTTTTCTTTCCATTGAAATACATTTCATGTCAAGTTGGGTGAGTTAAAAAACAAAAAACAAAAAAACCTCACAAGCTTTCAGTGAGTTTGTCATTGCCTCCCAAGTAGCTGAGACCACAGGCACACGCCACCATGCCTGGCTAATTTTTATTTATTTATTTATTTTTATTTTTTTATTTTTTTGAGACGGAGTCTCGCTGTGTCTCCCAGGCTGGAGTGCAGTGGCGTGATCTCGGCTCACTGCAAGCTCCGCCTCCCGGGTTCACGTCATTCTCCCGCCTCAGCCTCCCAAGTAGCTGGGACTACAGGCGCCCGCCACCACGCCCGGCTAGTTTTTTTTTTTTTTGTATTTTTAGTAGAGACGGGGTTTCACCATGTTAGCCAGGATAGTAAAGACAGGGTCTCCCTGTTGCCCAGGCTGGTCTTGAGCTCTTGAACTCAAGCAATCCTCTCACCTCAGCCTCACAAAGTGCTGGGTTTACAGGTGTGAGCCACTGTGCCAGACCTTGTGATGAGTGTTTGAAGCTATAAAACATCTGCATGGATAAGTACTAACATAAAGAGATACCTTAATGAATTACCAATGAATTTTAGTAGAGATAAACCTATGAATGGGTTTAATCCATAAGCTTGCCTGCTTTCTTATCAAGCCCCACATGTCTATCACTTAGGAGAAGCCAGGGACAGGGATTCAGTCAACTGAAGGAGTAAAATTAAGTAAAATGAGGAAGCAAGCAACAGAAGGACGTGGAATAATCAAATAGGAGCTGAAAAATTAGTGTGGCCGGGCGCAGTGGCTCACGCCTGTAATCCCAGCACTTTGGGAGGCCGAGACGGGCGGATCACGAGGTCAGGAGATCGAGACCATCCTGGCTAACCCGGTGAAACCCCGTCTCTACTAAAAAATACAAAAAAACTAGCCGGGCGAGGTGGCGGGCGCCTGTAGTCCCAGCTACTCCGGAGGCTGAGGCAGGAGAATGGCGTGAACCCGGGAGGCGGAGCTTGCAGTGAGCTGAGATCCGGCCACTGCACTCCAGCCTGGGTGACAGAGCGAGACTCCGTCTCAAAAAAAAAAAAAAAAAAAGAAAAATTAGTGTGAAATTAATTCATATATCCAAAGAACAAGGCATACATACACACTTATTACATTTGAGCTCTTCAAACATTCCAACATCAGGCATCTAACATCAAAAATATGGACAGGGAGCGGTGGTTCATGCCTGTAATCCCAGCACTTTGGGAGGCCAAGGTGGGTGGATCACTTGAGGTCAGGAGTTCGAGACCAACCTGGGCAACATGGTGAAACCGTCTCTACTAAAAATACAAAAATTAGCCAGGTGTGGTGGTGCATACCTGTAATCCCAAGTACTCAGGAGGCCGAGGCAAGAGGATCCCTTGAGGCTGGGAGCTGGAGGTTGCAGTGAGCCGAGATTGCACTACTGCACTCCAGCCTGGCTGACAGTCGGAAAAACACAAAAACAAAAATAGGTAAAGATACAATTAATAGAAAATGGGATTTATACATGACAAATTATACAATGTACCTACGTAATTTTGAAAAAGTAAACAATTGGCCAGGCGTGGTGGCTCAAGCCTGTAATGCCAGCACTTTGGGAGGCCAAGTGGGTGGATCACAAGGTCAGGAGACCGAGATCATCCTGGCTCACACGGTGAAACTCCATCTCTACTAAAAATAGAAAAATTAGCCAGGTGTGATGGCGGGTGCCTATAGTCCCAGCTACTCAGGAGGCTGAGGCAGGAGAATGGTGTGAACCTGGGAGGCAGAACTTGCAGTGAGCCGAGATCGCGCCACTGCACTCCAGCCTGGGTGACAGAGCCAGACTCCGTCTCAAAAAAAAAAAAAAAAAAAAAATTACCAAAGACCACAAAGTGATTTTGTTTTTGTATGGTTTTATCTAGAAATATTTATCATATAGAAATGAAAACTGAGAAATTTCTTCAAATTTTTATTAACCATTTACAAGTAACAAAATCCCATTATGTATAAACACATAAATAACATTTTTGACAGTTATTTTTATTTTTTTCACATATTAAAACCCACTAAAAATAACCATTTTTCTAACCAACAACAAAAATCATTAGTGACAAGAGTACTGCTGCTTTACATTTCTCCAAATTTCTTCAATGTCTGATGACAGACGAAAGCTGGATTCTCATATCTGCTTTTGCATTCAGCCTATTATAATATCACACCAGATAGCCTCTCAAAAACTCCTCTGCACACTCATGAAAAAATGAGTGAAAAAGATAAATGATGGCCGGGCGTGGTGGCTCACACCTGTAAGCATTTTGGGAGGCTGAGGTGGGCAGATCACTTGAGCTCCAGAGTTCCAGACCAGCCTGGCCAACATGGTGAAGCATCGTCTCCACTAAAAATACAAAAATTAGCCAGGTGTGGTAGTGGATGCCTGTAATCCCAGCTACTCAGGAAGCTGAGGTAGGAGAATTGCTTGAACCCAGGAGGCGGAGGCTGCAATGAGCTGAGATCGTGCCACTGCAACAGAGCAAGACTCCTTCTCAAATAAAAAAAAAGGAAAAACTATAAATGATGAAATGGTAAGTGTTATAAAAACAGCTTTGACCTAGAATACCCTTGAAAGGCTCTTGAGGCCCCCCCGACCACACTTTAAGAACCACTGCTCTAGACGAATCTCTTCATTTTACATATAAGGACCCTGGACCTCAGAGAGAGTAAGTGAGAAACTCAACATCACACAGCCTGTTAATAGGAGGATACAGACATTAGATGGTTTGTCTCACTTCTCTTGGTTTAGGTTCTCAACTGGAAACCTGGGAAATACACCCTAATGACCTGTCCTATTCCCTGTAAGTTGCAAAGATTGCCACAATATACTTATTACCCTCTCCCCAACATGTCTTTAATAAAAGAGGTAATCAACAAATTTGGTAAATTTTGCAACAGGCATACTGTGTTTGAACCTAAACTACAATATTTGAATTCAGGTCTCTATTTGAACAGAAACACTAAGGCAAATTCGACTGCATCCTACTCCATGCAAGCTAGTAATGACAAACTGTACAGTAAATATCATAGGTAAATATGGAAAGCAGATTACCCATAATATCACTATATAGCATATATTCTGTGTCTGGAATACAATTCAATGACATATTTCAGAAAAATTTTCTCAAGTACTGGCTGAAAGGGTGGTGGATACATTAAGAGATTGCAAATAAATTGGCGATCACAAGATCTTTTTTAGATAAAATGGAGTTGTTCTGCAATGTAGACATTTTTCATTCCCTAACCAGACCTTATTCCTGTGTTTTTAAAGAAAATCAAGAAATCTTCTTGGCTACCTAGAGATGATTTCCTTTGTATCCCACCAGATGGTTCAGATCTTCTTTAAATGGATCATAGCCTTGTTCTTTTAAACAACGCAGTCCCCAGAAAAGCTGGTCCAGAGGAGGAAATTCTTCCCAAGGAACCCACTCCCAACCTAGAAAAGAAAAATGCTACATCGATTTATTTAGCTCACAGAAAACAAAGGGTATTCATTTGGGTAAGCTAACCTATATTTAGAAAAAATTAACTGAATTTAAAAATAACTTGCTACTAATAAACTCTAATAGTAATGCTTTGTATTTGCTTGGCTAGACAAATATAATTTGCATGCAGAATGAAGATCTTATGAAGAGAAGGGTGGTCATTTAAAACACTGTGTTATTTGAATGTGAAGCCCAGTTTACAAAGGCTATGCCAGGGTAAACCCAGACTTAGTATTAGTCAATGTTTATTTAAATATTTTTGTAAAAAATGCAAATAACTTTATATACTATAGGTTATACTACATTAAAATAAACCATTTCCTTCACCTATAAAATAAAGTAGATTACAAAGTTTCTAAGATATCCTCTATCTCTTAAAAAAGTATGAAAGCTGTGCAGAGGAAAATCAAATATTGTACCTTGGTATATTTTAGATAAACAAATACAGAAGATAATTTTTTAAAAATCCATTCAAACAAGAAAGATTTAACAGTGTCTATCAGTTATAAAGTACATGAAATTCTAGAAAAAGATTCTAGAGAATGGTGTTTTCTTTCATGATTTAAATGTAAATAACATAGAAGCACAGATACTTATGATAGGCAAATACCTACATATTATATTAAGATATACACTCGGCCGGGCGCGGTGGCTCAAGCCTGTAATCCCAGCACTTTGGGAGGCCGAGACGGGCGGATCACGAGGTCAGGAGATCGAGACCATCCTGGCTAACACGGTGAAACCCCGTCTCTACTAAAAAATACAAAAAACTAGCCGGGCGAGGTGGCGGGTGCCTGTAGTCCCAGCTACTCCGGAGGCTGAAGCCGGAGAATGGCGTAAACCCGGGAGGCGGAGCTTGCAGTGAGCTGAGATCCGGCCACTGCACTCCAGCCTGGGCTACAAAGCGAGACTCCGTCTCAAAAAAAAAAAAAAAAAAAAGATATACACTCTATGTTCTTTATGACCACCTGTTTTTACTAAGTGTAAGCACTAAGTATCTCTCTGTTCATAAAATACAGGTATACAGGCATGTATTTTCACTTTGGGAATGCAGGGGCCAAAAATCCATGAAACTGGAACAAGTACAGGAAGAGATGATGAGAGAGAGAGAGAGAGAGAGAGAGAGAAGAGAGGAGAGAAGAGAGAGAAAGAGAGAGAGAGAGAGAGAGATTGAGTACCCAACAATGCGGTGCAAGATGCTCAGTTAACCGGGTCTCCAAAAAGCTGTCCATGAAGAGATTAACCCATCCCCTAGAAAATGAAGTGTCTGGATGAGCCTCCAAACTATAATTAGATGGTTGGAGGAAAGATGCCATTAAATAGTAAACTGAAGCAGGCTACCCAGATCCAAGGCTTGAGTAGCACGGGACAGAGAGACTGTATCTTTATACTAGAAAGAAAGCAAAGACCCACCAAGCCCTTGCACCTTGGCTAGGCTGCAACTGGTTATCAGTATAGCTGGTTATCAGGCTGCAACTGGGAATAAAGTGAACATAATTTCTGCTGTATTTTTACTAACAGATATAGAGGAATAAATGTTTTTGATCAAATCTGATTTGATGCTAGTAATCTTGGACCTTCTAAATCATACTGCTTTATTTGAGATTACTAGCAAGGTTCATGTTAGGGAGTTAACAAAATGAAAGTGGACAAATAAAAAAGTTATATAAATGAATTTTAAAAATCACAATGCATGTAAAACTACTACTAGCTACTATATCCTAAGAGGAATAAAACAATACATATAGCTACATGGTTATAAAAACTCATGATTTAGTACTTAAAGTAGAATAGTAATCTTCTAGAAGTTATTCAAAAGTAGGACAGTCTAGTACTAAATGAAAACTTCACAGAAAGAGGTTGGCTTGTATATTCATTCACTGGGTCCTTCCTTCCTTCAACATATTTTGAATACTGATTATGAGCTAGACACTGTGTTTGGCAGGGAAGAGTCCAAAATGTATAAGCCAAAAGAACTGTTCTTTATAGATTCAAAGTTCAGTAAAAAAAAAAAAAAAAAAGAGCATAATTTGAAGTTGAGTTGAATTTGAGATGCCTTCTGAACATTAAGGGAAGATATTTAGAAAGCAACTGGAAACACAGGCCCACAGCTCAGAGAAGCGAGATTCAGAATTATAACTTGCATCAGGATTCCCCAACTCAAATCCCTACAGAGGCCAGACAGGGCAAAAAGAGGACTGAAGAATGAGGAAGCACCCAGAGGTGGCTTGGTGAGTAAGAATGGTCAAATAAAGCTGGTGGGACAGTCAGTGACCTTGGTGTTTTCTCTATAGCACCTTCTCTAAAAATGAAGGTTTTCTATATCTGCTTCCTGTGAAGGATACTGAATATAAAAAAAAAAAAAAACCTTAACTATTTCATCATATTTGTCTCTTCTAGTCTCAGCTTTATTTGCCCACAGAAAAAAGAAAAATAAGAAAATGTTTAGTCCATTTCTTCTTTTCTTCTCTTTGAGACAGGGTCTCACTCTGTTGCTGCTCAGGCTGGAGAGCAGTGGTGATATCAGAGCTCACCGCAGCCTTGATCTCCCAGGCTCCCATGATCCTTCCATCTCAGCCTCCCGAGTAGCTGGGATTACAGGCATGTGCCACCACTCTGGCTAACATTTTTAGTTTTGTAGAGACAGGGTCTCACTATGTTGCCCAGTATATGTATATACGTCCCTTTGTCAGAGACCCTTCCCGACCACCCTGATACAGCACTCATATATCCCTTTCTTACACAGCTTTATTGCTCTTTTTAGTCCTTATTGCTACTATCATAAAGTATCTGTAATCTGTCGTTTTCCCCGCTCCCTAAAATGTAAAGTACCAAGAAGGCAGGGACTTTGTTCTACGCAACATTGTTTCTTCAGTGCCTAGAACAGTGTCTGGCACACCACTCAATAAGTTATCTGTTGAATAAAAAGATTCTTCCCTGTTAGACAAGAAATTAAATGTTTAGAGGGGAGCTTCAATATATGAGACCACTTGGATAAAGTTTCATATGGCAAGGAATATGCTGAAAAAGTTTGATATTTTTCTCTTTAGTTCCTTTTCTCTGTTTTATGAGAAGTTGAGGAGAGACAGTAGACAGAAAATCCTTGGAACAATGCTTAGCACATAGTATATAAAGAAACTTTCAGTGCACTCAATTCAACATAGAGGGTAACAGATAATGAAACCACCTTTGCGAAATTATAACAGTGACAGAAATCTAACAAAGCTGACTCCAACTTGCTTCTAACCTCACAAATTGTCTGCTCATTTCTACACACAGGCCAACCTAACTATGGGAGGAATTTAGTTTACAGTTTAACTTTAAAGCAAGGATGATAATAGTCCCTTCCCAAAACTAACCCCCTCCTTGTTGAGGGACCAAAGCTGCTTTTGTAAAACTAATAAAAGGTCACAAGGTTGGAATTATGGTAAGGGCCAGAACTCTATTAAGATGTAGGCATAGTTAAACTCTAACCAGGCATCATTTTATAACTTGCCTTACTGCTCAGGAAGCATGTAGCCAGTGGTCAAAAGATTTATAACTCCCAATTACCCCTACAGATGGCATTGCTATTGTAAAACCTAAGACTAGTGTTGAGATCTTTTTCAGGCTTTGCATTCTAATGGACCAACTGGTACCACCCAAATCAGTAAGCCACACAAAGAAAACCGACTCAAGTGGTCCTGTGAAGCCCCCATCGAGGAACTGACTTAGCACAAGTAGACAACTGACATCCCTATGGTCTTATCCCCAACCCAACAAATCAGCATTTCTCATTCCCTAGCCCCTTGCTTGCCAAACCATCCTTGAAAAACCCTAGCCTCTTAATTCTCTATGGGTAGGATTTAAGAATTATCTCCTGTCCTCCTCAGGCAGCTGCCCTGTGATTATTAAACTCTTTCTCTGCTACAACTCCTACTGTCTCAGGGTGCTGGCTTTTTCTGGGCAGCAGGCAAGGAGAACCCAACTGCTCTGAAACAATAACTGTTTTATCAGTGTAATTATTTACAGTAAATGGATGGTATTAACTCTCCCGCACAGGTGAGAAAACTGAGGAAAACAGATAAAATATTTTCCTTAAAATTACTGCCTGAGGCCGGGCGCGGTGGCTCAAGCCTGTAATCCCAGCACTTTGGGAGGCCGAGACGGGCGGATCATGAGGTCAGGAGATCGAGACCATCCTGGCTAACACGGTGAAACCCTGTCTCTACTAAAAAATACAAAAAACTAGCCGGGCGAAGTGGCGGGCGCCTGTAGTCCCAGCTACTTGGGAGGCTGAGCAGGAGAATGGCATGAACCCGAGAGGAGGAGCTTGTAGTGAGCTGAGATCCGGCCACTGCACTCCAGCCTGGGTGACAGAGCAAGACTCCGTCTCAAAAAAAAAAAAAAAAAAAAAAAAATTACTGCCTGAAACAAAATTAAACACTAACAATAAAACTTACTATGTTCACGAGGTTCTTCATATGTAAATCCTTACAAGAACCCATCTAAGGTACTTACTATTATCACAGATGAGAAAAGGGCCCCGGCACGAAATAATTTGCCCAAGGTCACAAAGCTCTAAGAACCAGCACCCAAACACAGGCAGTCTGGTTCCTCATGGTCCAAATATATTTACCTATCTGTATCTCTATATTACATCTCTACATTCACATATCTTAGGCTATTCAGACTGCTATAACAGAATATTTTAAACTACATGGCTTATGAGCAACAGAAATTTATTTCTCAACAGTTCTAGAGACTGGGAAGTCCAAGATCAAGACACTGGCAGATTCCATGTCTGGGGAGGGCCCACTTCCAGGTTTCATAGACAACCATCTTCTCTCTGTATCTTTACATCATGGAAGGGGTCAGGGGTCTCTTTTACAAGGGCACAAATTCCATTCATTATCTTATGATCTAATCACCTCCCAAGGGCCCCACCTCCTAAAACCATCGTCATGGGAGTTAGGATTTCTACACAGAATTCTGGGGGAACACAAGGATTCAGACAATGGCATTCTCTTCATATGGCAACACACTGTAATATTCCTCCAGACCACATGCTCTCCTCAAAGAAAAATGTAGGATTATATATAATTCTCTTACTTTCATTTTTTTCAGGTTCTACATTCTTTGGTTCTGAATCATGAGTCACATCCACTTCTCCTTTCATTAATATAGTAACATAATGGTATTTCTCCTTCTCAATGAAAGAATTCACAACTGAGGCAAAGCGAACATTTTTCAGGTGAAGAGCTGCTTCTTCCCAGGTTTCCCTTTGAGCACATTCTTCCCAGGTCTCACTGGAAAACAGAAAAAAAAATTAATTATATTTTTTTTATATACATATGTGTATATATGTATATATATAAATGTATATACGTGTGTGTATATATATTTCGCCATGAAATTCTTGGCTAGAAATTTCTAGTGTAAAGCAAAAAGAACTGTAATTGGTTCCTGCTTTAAAACAACAAATCAGCCGGCATGTGGCTCATGTCTGTAATCTTTTGGGAGGCCGAGGCAAGAGGATAGCTTGAGTTAAGGAGTTTGAGACCAGCCGAGGCCAACATAGTGCGACCTCATCTCTCAAAAAAAAAAAAAAATAGCCAGGCATGGTGGTGCGTGCCTATGGTCTGTGGTCCCAACTACTCAAGAGGCTGAGGCAAGAGGATAGGTTGAGCGTGGGAAGTCAAGGCTGCAGTGAGCCCATGATGGATGTGCCATTGCATCCAGCTGTAAATTAAGTGCCTGAGATGGGCTAAATGTTAATTTTGTGTGTGGTTGTTGGTGCTGTGGTGTGTGTTTTGGGGGCTTTTTTTAAAAAAACTATTTACAGGTAATCTCAGACATCTATTATACCATCCCTAACGTTCAGTATGTACCTGAATAGACTTTTAAAAAAACATAACGCAAACATTTTCATACCTAACAAAATAATTCTTTAAGTATCATCTCATACCCGTGTGTGTAGCATTTTCCTCCGTGATCTTAAAAATGTCCAATTCAGGGGTGTGTGTGTGTGTTTTGGGCAGCGGAGGAAAGGCATCAAGATGAAAAAGAAAATGCTCTGTGATCGGTACAAAAGGATTCACTATTTTCTCCACTTTTGATGTACATTTGAAAATTTATACTGAAGGAAAACAAGTGCTGGGTCTGATGCTTTAGATGCTGTTTATCTGTTCTGATTACATTATTTCACTTCAGAATCCACTTTTTAGCACCATCCCAGGCTTTTTTTTTTAACTGAAAAACATTATTTTTTTTACAAAGTGTTTCGTATACACTTTTTGTAATAAAATGCACATGTTAAAATATATTACAATTTGATGAGTCTGGAAATATGCGCACACCCATGATAGTATAGTCAAGGTGATAAACTATCCGGGCTCTCTTACTCTTGTATAGAATGAGTCTCCTTAGCTGTCCAACTCCTTTGATAGTTATAATGATCGGAAGTGCCAAGGAGAAGGCAGCTTCAAGGGGATTTAGTCCAACACTCCCATTTTAAAGATGAAGAAACTGAGGCTCAAAGCGTTTCATTAGCCCATTTGCTTGGTTTGAGTGCAACTAAAATTTTACATATAATCATCCCAACAGATGCAGGAAAAAAATGACAAAATCCAATACTCATTCATGATTATTTTTTGGTTGCACTCTAGCCAAGCAAATGGGCTTGGTTACGTGGTCAGTAGGTATTAAATTGATCTGTGTTGGTCTAAATCACATGGAAACCGGCCGGACGCGGTGGCTCACGCCTGTAATCCCAGCACTTTGGGAGGCTGAGGCGGGTGGATCACCTGAGGTCAGGAGTTCGAGACCAGCCTGGCCAAAATGGCGAAACCCCGTCTCTACTAAAAACACAAAAATTAGTACGGTGTGGTAGCGGGCGCCTGTAATCCCAGCTACTCATGAGGCTGAGACACGAAAATCGCTTGAACCTGGGTAGCGGAGGTTGCAGTGACTAGAGATAACGCCACTGCACTCCGGCCTGGGCTACAGAGCGAGACATCTCTCCAATCAATCAATCAATCAATCACACGGAAACGGTGCAATGTCTTAGCTGACAACATCGGGCTGCTGGAGTTTACACACCTGCTTTCCTCCTTTGTGTGTAAGCTGTGAGAAACACACCTCACAGACAAAATTCCAACCACACCTAGCGGGGCGCGCAGCCGGAAGGACCCAGCTAGCCCAAGCAAAGACCTCGCCTGACCCCGGCACAGCGCCCCATCCTGGGCGAGAGCCTACGTCGCCCAGAGGTCGAGGGGAGGAACCGAGGGAACGCACGAGAAACGACGCAGGTCAGCGCGGACGTTCCCACGCACGGCGCACGAAGGAAGCACAGTGTGAGCTCGTCCCTCCGCGCACGCTGCGCTTCCTCGCGTCCGCGGCTGCTCACCCGAACTCCAAATGGACCTCCAGGAGTTGGAAACTGCCGGCTCCAACCGAGCCTTTCCTCTTCCCCAGGAGGACGCAACGCGGATGTTTGCAGCTGGTCACCACGACTCCTACTCCGACTCCGGGCCGCCGCCCCCGCGGCTCTGCACGGTGGGTCATAGCGCGTGGGAGGACGCGCCTGGCAGCGGCAGGAAGTGACGCGCTCACCGCCCAGTCCCGCGGCCTCAGCCAGTCTCTCCCCGCGCGGGCGCAGGCGCCGAAATCAAAGCGAGAGCGCCTCGGCGTCTCCAGCTGTCCGTTGTGCGTAATGCGTTGCGGAGGGCTATCAGCTTGCGGAGGGCTATCAGCTTGCGGAATGTCGTGTTTCCTGCCAAAGGGCAGCGTGCTTTAAGAGTTTCGCTCTAACTAAAGTTGCATAGTGTTGTGCTTTGAGTATTCAACACCCATCAGCCTGTCCACTCCCAGATTCATCCAAACCATGTATTTGCATGTACAAGCCGCCTGCTCTTACAAACCTCGGCACCACTGCACATTCTCCTCTTTTCCTTTGAATGACCTCGCCACCATGGTGCACCCGTTTGCACTATATCCAAATCAGCGTGGTACCAGGACAAGGATAGGTCGTTTAGAAACATGCCATTATAAACAACTATGCTTAAAGTATATTCATAAGCCATGGGAGGAAATAAAGGCTAATTGATAAATCATGGTAGGACGAGTTAGTTACAAACAGTGGAAAACAGACGTTTTCAGATGTCTGCACACCACGTACCTTGCAAAACACAAACCAGCTGAATCATAAAAACAAATGACTAGTCACTGGGAGGATTTTCTCTCTCTCTCTCTCTCTCTCATTATTTTTACTTCTACCAAAGTAATGTGCACATACTGGTAATTTTTTTTTTTTTTATTTTTAAAATTTTCACCAAGCTAGCTAATTTTTTTTTTTGGTAGAGGTGGGCTGTTGCTCTTTTGCCGAGGTTGATCTCCAACTCTTGTCGTCTAGCAGTCCTCTCACTTGGGCCTCCCAAAGTGCTGGGATAACAGGTGTGAACCACTGCTCCTGACCTATAGCTATGATTTTAAGAAGTAAACTGATGCAAAAACCGCAGCGAGAACAACCTGACCCTCTACTCCTACTTCCAGAATCAATCACTTTTAACTTTGAACTGTATTTCTGAAATTTGCCTACGTATTTCTAAGTAATATGCTTACTCTCCATGTTATAGTAAATGGATAAGCTTTTTACAGCATCTCTCCTTACTGTCAACATTCACATTCATTATAAGGGTACTCTATAATATCTTCTCAATAAAAAATGGTAGTCTATAAAAGGATAATATATTAAACAATGGGATTAATCCCAGAAATACTAGGTTGGCTTAATATTTGAAAAGCCAATGTAATTTAGCATATTAACAGAGGGAGAAAGGAAATACATATATACCATCTCAACAGATGCAGAAAAATTTAACAAAATCCAGGCCTGGCACGGTGGCTCCACCTGTAATCCCAGCACTTTGAGAGGCTGAGGCGGGTGGATCACAAGGTCAGGAGGTCAAGACCAGGCTGGCCAAGATGGTGAAACCCTGTCTCTACAAAAAAAAAAAAAAAAAAAAAAAAAAATTAGCCTGGCATGGTGGTGGGCGCCTGTAATTCCAGCTACTCGGGAGACTGAGGCAGAGAATTGCTTGAACCCGGGAGGCAGAGGTTGCAGTGAGCGGAGATCGCGGCACTGCACTCCAGCCTAGGCAACAAGAGCGAAACTCCGTCTCAAAAAAAAAAAAAAAAAAATTAACAAAATCCGATACTCATTTTTGATTTTAAAAACTCACAAAACCTCTGAGCAAACTAGAAATAAAATGAAACTTTAACAACATGATATACGGCATCTACAAAGACCTACAGCTAACATCGTGTTTAATCACTGTTTTGAGCTGAATTGTGTCCCCTCAAAATTCCTATGTTGAAGTCCTATCCTCCAGTACCTTAGCATTTGGAGACAGGATCAAGTTAAAATGAAGCCATTAGGGTAGGCCCTATTCTAATGTGTCCTCGCAAGAAGTAGAGATTAGAACCCAGACTATGTTCTATGGGAAGACTGCGTGATGACACAGGGAGAAGCCAAGGAGAGCAGCCTCAGAAGAAACCAACTCTGCTGACACCTTCATCTTAGAATTCTAGCCTCCAGAATTGTGAGAAAATTAGGTTCTGTTATTTAAGCCACACAATCTTTGACACTTCGTTATGGCAGCCATAGCACTAGCCTAGCCTTAGTCTCGGTGAAAGACTTAAGATTTGGGAGAAGCTAGGGTATCCACTCTGAGCACGTTTAGTTATCATGTTGCTGGAGATTCTAGTTAGCACAATTAATAAAATTTTAAAATCAATAAAAGGTAGTTAAATTGGAAAGGAATAAGTAACCGTCTTTTTTTAAAAAAACAATCCTGAGGAATTAATTAAAAAGCCATTAGAACAAATAAGCAAGTTTAGCAAGGTCATAGGATTCAAGGTCAATATACACAATTGATTATATTTCTATATATTAGCAATGAACCATCGAAAAGTAAATTGTTAAAACAAGACCATTTATAACACCATAAAAAACATACTTAGAAATATAGTTAGCAAAAGATGTGGAACACTTTTTTTTTTTTTTTTTGAGGCGGAGTCTCGCTCTGTCGCCCAGGCTGGAGTGCAGTGGCGATCTCGGCTCACTGCAAGCTCCGCCTCCCGGGTTCCCGCCATTCTCCTGCCTCAGCCTCCCGAGTAGCTGGGACTACAGGCGCCGCCACCACGCCCTGCTAATTTTTTGTATTTTTTAGTGGAGACGGGGTTTCATTGTGTTAGCCAGGATGGTCTCGATCTCCTGACCTCGTGATCCGCCTCTGGGCCTCCAAAGTGCTGGGATTACAGGCTTGCGCCACCGCGCCCGGCCCAAGATGTGGAACACTTCTACACTGAAAACTATAAAACTGAACCAATGCCGGGCGTGGTGGCTCACCTGTAATCGCAGCACTTTTGGAGACCTCAGGTAGATCCCCTGAGGTCAGAAGTTCAAGACCAGCCTGGTCAACATGGTGAAACCCCGTCTCTACTAAATATACAAAAATTAGCTGGGCGTGGTGGCGGGCACCTATAATCCCAGCTACTCAGGAGGCTGAGGCAGGAGAATTGCTTGAACCCAGGACGCAGAGGTTGCAGTGAACTGAGATCATGCCATTGCATTCCAGCCTGGGTAACAAGAGTGAAACTTCGTTCCAAAAACAAAAAACTGTGAACCAAAAATAAGATTCTAAACACCTTCACCCCCAACCATCTGAATGGACTTCGTCCTCTTGGCCAGAGAACTCCAAAGTTAACCTGAAAAACTGGTTCAAGCCATGATGGAAGCAGGGGTCGGATATGTCTCATTATGCCCCCTTTCTTTTGGAATTCAGGAAAAGCCAACCAGCATTTAACATTAACACAGACCTTAAGTCTGATAAGAAACATTTATAATCTAGTCTTTTCGAAGCCTGCTACCTGGAGGCTTCAGCTTCATGATAAAATTTTGGTCTCCACAATGTCTTATCTTAACCCAGACATTCCTTTCTATTGATAATAACTCTTTCAACCAATTGCCAATCAGAAAAATTTAAATCTACCTGGAACCTGGAACCCCTGCCCCACTTCAAGTTGTCTTGCCTTTCTGGACCAAACCAGTGATTCAATCTGTATCTTAAGTGTATTTGAAGTCTCATGTCTCCCTAAAATGTATGAAACCAAGCTGCTCCCCAACCACCTTGAGCATATGTTCTCAGGGTCTCCCAAAGGCTGTGTCACAGGCCATGGTCACTCATATTTGGCTCAGAATAAATCCCTTCAACTATTTTACAGAGTTTGACTTCTTTTTTTATTTCAAGTTTTTGGGGTATAGGTGGTTTTTGGTTACATGGATTCATTCTTTAGCTGTGATTTCTGAGATTTTAGTGCACCCATCACCTGAGTAGTGTACACTGTATGTAGTCTTTTATTCCTCACCCCTCTCCCAACTTTCCCCTCTGAGTCCGCAAAGCCCATTGTATCACTCTTATGCCTTTGCATCCTCATAGTTTAGCTCCCACTTGTAGGTGAGAACGTACAATGTTTGCTTTTCCATTCCTGAGTTACTTCAGTTAGAATAATGGTCTCCAGCTCCATACAAGTTACTGCAGAAAACATTATCTTGTTCCTTTTTATGGCTGAGTAGTATTTTATGGTGTACGTATACCACATTTTCTTTATCCATTCGTTGGCTGATGGGCACTAAGGTTGGTTCTGTGTCTTATTGTGCTGCTATATGTGCATGTGTGTTTTTTATGTAATGACTTATTTTCCTTTGGGTAGATATTTATTAGTGGGATTGCTGGATTGAATGGTAGTTCTACTTTCAGTTCCTTAAGGAATCTCTATACTATTTTCCATAGTGGTTGTACTAGTTTACATTTCCAGTAGCAGTGTAAAAGTGTTCCCTTTTCCTCACATCCAGGCCAACATCTATTGTTTTTTTACTTTTTTATAATGGCCATTCTTACAGGAGTATGGTGGTATCTCATTGAGGTTTTAATTTGCATTTCTCTGATGATTAGTGATGTTGAACATTTTTTCGTGTTTATTGGCTGTTCGTATATTTTCTTTTGAGAAATGTTTATTCATGTCCTTTGCCCACTTTTTGATGGGATTGTTTTTTTCTTGCTGATTTGTTTGCATTCCTTGTAGATTCTGGATACTAGTCCTTTGTCAGATGCATAGTTTGCCAGAGTCTGACTCTTTTCATTGACAGAACATTACTGAAGAAAATGAAATACTTAAGTAAAAGAAGAGAAGTATGATAAACACGGATCAGAAGACCCAGTATTGTTAAAATGTCGATTCTCTACAAATTACATAGATTGAATGCAGTCCCAATCAGAATAACAGAAGGCTTCCCTTTCCAGTAGAAATTGATAGGTTGATTCTATAATTGGTATGAAAACACAAATAACTAGAATAATAAAAACAGTTTTTAAAAAGGAAACATTTAGAGGGTTCACACCACTTGATTTCAAGACTTAGGATCAAGCCACAGTAATCAAGAGAGTATGGTATTGGTAAAAACATAGACACATAGATCAATGAGACAAAATAGAGGGACTAGAAATAGATCCATATATATATATATATATCTATATATATATATAAAATTTTTGAAAATGTGCAAATACAATTCAATAAAGATAGTCTTTTTAACAAATGGTGCTGGAACAATTTGACATATAAATGTAAACAAAAAGCCTCAACTTATAATTGGCACCATATATAAAAATTAGCT